ACCCTCGGGTCTGCCCAGAGGTCCCGCCGTCTCTGAGACGCCCCGACACGCCGCCGGGATCGCTCGGCACAGCGACGCTCTGCGGGAGCACCTCCCCGTCCCCGGGCGCGAAGCCCCGCGCCCGCCCCGGCCCCAGCCGGCCACCAGCATCTTACCGTGCCGCGACCACAGGCGACTTCTTCCCGGGATCTAACGTGGACCCGGCCGGTTCCTCCCCCAGTGACCGTGTATCCTTGTTCAGCTGCTGTAGTCGGGAACTTAGCTCACTGATCACAGTTGGCTTGTCATCGTCAGCCCCATGGATCGGCCTGCTCTCCATGGGGTCCCCCCATAGCTTGGACCTTCTCTGAAAGAGGTAGCGTGGCCGGCCAATGCTGGCTGACGCCAGAGTGGCCGCATGTTGCTGGGAGATGAGCTCGCTGTCCGAAGACTGCTTCAAAAGTGGGTCCCTGAAAGTAACTGGCCCCTTGCTGAGCTGGGACTTGAGTTTTGGCTTTGGAGGCACTGGTGGCTTCTCGAGTATAAAAGTTTGTCCATCCGCAAAGGAAGTGTATGTGTCAGTAGGCTCCCCGCTTTCTGAGGACAACGTAGACATGCTGGAGACCGTAGAGATGGTGCTTGTGGTCTCCAGGTGATGGTCACTTGAACTTCTGGTGTCCACCTCTTCCACTCCCGAGTCTGCAGCAGACTCTGGGGCTACGGGGGCATCAGAGGGCTTCCCTGAGGGTGTTCCGCCAGTGGTAGAAGGTGCTACTGCTGCCGCTGGTATGGATGGCGTGCTAGGCGTAGCCAGGTGGCTGATCGGTGTGCCAGGGGTGGTGACCAGTACCCCGTTCGCAAACTCGTCTGGTGGAGGCACCAGCCCTATCTTGGCCAGCTCCTCCCTGGTCTCTTCGTCACTTGAGGACAACTGAGCTGGCGGGAGGGTGACCGTGTAGGGCTCCACCTCTTCCTCCGAACTCCCTTGTCCCAGTGTCTTGTCCGAGGCTGGACTGACCGGAGGCTTTCCCACGGGACTGGGCTGGGTCTCTGCTTTGGGGGACTCTGCCGGCTCTGTGCACGCTTCGGGGACAGCTGGCTTCTCCTCTTTTATCTCAAGTCCTATCTCGTCTTGGCCGTTACTTGTGGCATGGACCATGATGAGGCCAGCGGTCTTCTGCTGTGATGTATCCACTATGCTAATAATCATGGACTTCTTGTCTTCTTGTTTCTTCTCCTCCTTCCCAGGTGTTTCTGCTCTTGCCTCAGTCTCTTTTCTCAGGGTGGATGGAGTCCCCCACTGGCTCTTCGCAGGGGCCAAAGTCCCAGAGTCGGTCCCGACGGCCCCTTTGCCTCCAGGGGAGTACGCAGGGGACACTAAGCTCTCCAACTCCCCCCTCTCTGGTTCTTTGGTTTGGATGTCCACAAACAGGGGTGCTGCTCTCTCTGAGTCTGGGCTGTGGATCGGGGTGGGCGACCGGGATGGGACTTGAGTTGAGAGGGCCCGTTCCCTTGCGGCCAGCGCAAGCGCCAGTGGCGAGTTCGGATCCAAGGGTTTTCCTGTTAGGGGGTGGATGAAGGTTGAGGATGAGCTGCTAATTAATGGCTTTAAAGCTGAGACAGGGGAAGGCAGTAGTACATCTCGGCTTCCTAACAACCGCTCATCAATGGACCTGGACTGCTGCAAGGATGGCATGTCGCTGCTGGGGGGGGTTCCTTCAATGGCCCCAACCGAGAGGAAGACAGTGGATTTCCGCCTCTCATCCAGACGACGGTCTCTGTCCTTCATGACTCCGGCGATGGCAGTGGCGAAGGGGATGCTCGTGGCTTCAACCTGAGCAATGCCGGCGTGGTGCTGATACTCCACTCCGCTCAGGCGATGGCTCCGGCGGGTGGGAGAGGGCTCCCTCGTAAAGCCTCCGGTGATGGACAGCGTTGCTCTCTCCTGTGCATCCTCCACCTGTAACTGCTTAACGAGAGGACTCTTCTTCCTCTGTGGCTTGGTGGGAGCAAACAGGCTGACGTTGAACTGACCCATGTTGGCGTAAGGGTTGTCAATCACTCTCCCCTTCCTCTTCAGCTTCTCCGGAGGGGTTGCAGATGGGCCAGGCCGGGGGATCTCTGTCGGCTCCACGGGAAGATGAGAGGAATCTTGTAGGATTATCATGGATCGGGCCCTCTTCTGCCTTTCAGGGTAAGGAATGGAAGTCCTTGCCTGATCGTACATCTCGGCTGCGCTAATGACCTGCGGGAGTCCATGGAGTTTAGCCTCCAGGCTTGGCTTAAAGCTTGACCTTATGGTATCATAAGCTCTTCCTGGGGGTGGAGGTGGTGAGAAGGATGGAGGGGGGCCTGTGTCGAAGTAATATGGAGAAGGAGGTGGGGGTGGGGCTGTTTGAGGTGGTGGTGGAATCCCATGTCCTTCCCTAACAGTGTCTTGCATCGATGTGCTCCGGGGAAACTTCCCATCTAGCAAAGAAGCAGCAAGTTTCTCGTCTTCACCTGGAAAACAAGAGGAACAGTGGAGTCAGAGGGGACGTCCCCAGGGAACCCAGAGCGTGACAGTCGCTGCAAATGGGATGCAGGACACCCCTTTCTTCCTCCCACCCCACCTTCCTTCTGAGGTGACTTTCCACTTCATCGTTTATTTGCTTGGCGCAAGCGTTTGCAGTCTGGCCCTTGGCTGATGTTCGCTTGGCGCAGAAGGGCGGCCACGGGCTCCCACCATCTCCCACACCGCTGTAAACCCATCACACAGCTGTGCCCGACACCTTCCAGCCAGGCCGGGCCCTCTCCAGAGCAGCGCGACGGTGACGGAACCGAACGCTTACACATGCTTCAGCGCGCCAGACGGAGCCCCGAAGCGGGGTCTAGCAGAAGCTCAAGTGACGTATTTCAAGAATTGGAAGTGCCCAAGGAAGCCAGATTCCGCCATTCTTAGCATGAATTTAATACCTGGGTGCGCAGCGAGAGCTTTTTCTGGTACTTGTAACAGCGAAAGAGTGCGACAACCTTGCTGAGTAAACCAATACGAGGAAAAACCCATCAGTACAGCAAGTACGTGCACGGATGCAGGTTAGCCAGGGTAGCCCGCTCCGGCCCTCGCACGAGCCTGCCCCTCTCCACCAAGCCCTTTGCTGCGCCCATCCCTGACCCTGGGTGCGCAGCGAGAGCTTTTTCTGGTACTTGTAACAGCGAAAGAGTGCGACAACCTTGCTGAGTAAACCAATACGAGGAAAAACCCATCAGTACAGCAAGTACGTGCACGGATGCAGGTTAGCCAGGGTAGCCCGCTCCGGCCCTCGCACGAGCCTGCCCCTCTCCACCAAGCCCTTTGCTGCGCCCATCCCTGACTCACAGAACCCCAGCATGGCAGGGTTGGCAGGGACCCCTGGGGATCCCCCACCCAACCCCCTGCCCAAGCAGGGTCACCCA